AGTACTAGATTCATGATGGGTCAAAACCCATCCCTCTTGGACTTGATCTTCGCTAAATCCATTGATTTTGTCACCAATATTGTATACAACTCACCTTTCGGTGCTAGCGACCACGCATGTCTCTCATTTAAGTGCGCCCTTAGTCGTCAGACTAATGATCATCCTGACCGAGTACCAAATATATGGCGCGCAGACTTTCAGACAATGAAAGCCAAAGCCGCAAAGTCGCCTTGTGTCATTTTGGAAAGCGACGATATTCAAACGGCCTGGGAAAGCTTTAAATCATACTTGAGTGAGCTCTCTCTCCCCCATATACCACTATCTGGCAGGAATAAAACTAGGGCAAAGCCACCCTGGTTTGATTCTGCTGTACGCAAACAACTTAACAGACGTGCCCGATGTTGGCGTACTTACTTATCTGCTCCTTCATTATGCACTTTCAATCGATATCGTGAGGTTCGAAATGCCTACAGGCAGTATCTACGTGGTGCTCGTCTACAGCATGAAGTAGAGCTTGCTCGTATAGCCTCATCAAACCCGAAACGCTTCTTCGCCTATGTCAAAAGGCGAAGCAACATGAATTCGTGCATCCCAGTATTGTTTGGCCCGGACGGCACTGCTGTTGTCACGGATCACGAAAAAGCTTGTTTGCTTGGAGAACAGTATGCTGGGGTTTATGTTAGAGAGTCACAGCCGCCGCATATCAGTCTCCAGGCAAAAGTTCCTGAGGGCTCCCACTTGGAGGAGGTTTCTATAACCGAGGCTCAAGTGCTCCGGCTTTTGAGGCAGTTAAATCCTAGTAAAGCTGCCGGTGGAGATGCTATTCATCCCAAACTGTTGTACGAGTTGGCTGATAAACTTTGCTCTCCGATTACGCATCATTTTGTGAAGTCTCTACAAGGCTGCTCTCTACCCAAGGACTGGAAGGAGGCTATTGTTTGCCCCATTTTTAAGAAAGGTGATAAGCACCTCCCTGATAACTATAGACCGGTCAGTTTAACGAGCGTGCTGGTCAAGTTATTGGAAAAGCTCGTGAGGGACGCTCTCGAAGGATATTTGAAAGGGTTTGACTTGCTTAATCCTTCTCAGCACGGTTTTCGTAAGGGCTATTCTTGCCTTACTAACTTGTTAACCGCTCGTGAACACTGGGCCGAAGCCGTTGATTGCGAGAAGGCAGTAGACGTGCTGTTTATTGACTTTTCCAAAGCTTTTGACACCGTTCCACATTCGCACCTTTTGTACAAGCTGAATTCCTTTGGTATTTCTGGACCAGTCTTACGATGGATTTCAGCTTTCCTAATCGGAAGGGAAATGTGTGTGCGGGTGGGTTCAAGCTTGTCCTTCCGCCAATGTGTTCTCAGTGGCGTGCCGCAAGGTTCGGTTCTTGGCCCCCTTCTCTTCACTTTATACGTTAATGACCTACCTGATGAATTGGGTGTGCCATCCCTAATGTTTGCGGATGACTTAAAACTCTGGTTCACGATAGAAGAGCCGATTGGTCCACTGACCCTACAGGGGGCTCTGGATAGACTTTGGGACTGGTCAATTTTGTGGCAGTTGCCAGTTAATTTAGGGAAATGTTCCGTTCTACGCGTTGGTCCGAATGACCCGCCGACGCGTTATTTGCTTGGTGGCAACGAGGTACCGCGAGTTCAACTCCAATCTGACCTCGGTGTTTTGCTGTCATCTGACTTCAAGTCCAGTGAACACTGGAAGGCAGCTGCTCGTAAAGGCTTCAACATGTTGTGGATGATCCGCAGGTCATTCGGGATCATGACCACCGACATGTTTGTTAGACTATTTTCGGCTTTTGTAAGGCCGCACTTAGAATACTGCGTCCAGGCTTGTCCTCCATGCCTGGTTCGTGATAAGATGGCAGTTGAACGAGTCCTGCGGTCCGGGACGAAAATGGTGTACGACTTAAAGAAGCTGACGTACCCGGAGAGGCTACGTAAGTTGGATATGTTTTCCATGTATTACAGGCGGCTTCGGGGTGACTTGGTCCTTACATATCATATATTGATGGGTCAGATTGGTTCTGATTTGACTGGACCTTTCCGCCCAACTCGAATGCCAACCCTTCGTGGCCACCCATTAAAGTTGCACAAACCCCGGTCTGACCGGGTTTTGGCAACTTTTAGATTATCGCGTAGGGTTATAGCTTATTGGAACACATTGCCTGCAGACGTCGTGATGGCACCGACGTTGAAAGAGTTCGAGCATCGACTTGACGCTCTCGGTCTGCAGTTTAAAGTCTTCCCCTTCGTGTCTTAAACTTTTCTGCGTCTATTACGGCTTACGCTTCTTTAACTCATTTTAACTTACATTTTAATATTGCCTATGATATTCGATTAGCTTGTCTTCTCTGTTTTCTTTTCTTTACTGACACTACTGTTTTCTTTTATTCTTCACGTGGCCGGCACAGCGGGGACTGCTAGTGCAGGACACGTGGGCATTGTTTGGTTGACCATATGAATCGTGTGTGTTGATTTGGCTCTCCTTTGGCACATCAAGGCACCGGTTTCCCTGTTGGATCAACGACGTTTTCAAAGGTGGAACATTCGCGGGATTTTCCTACTGTTCCGGTCCCAATTGAACTTGAACTTGAACTTGCTTAAAACACACTAGTTTTTTGTCCTTGAAATTTTCGCGCTGTGTTTGAAGTAGCGTGTTCTGCGGTTTACTGTTTGCTTTGCGGATGCCGGCTCTACCGTCGTTTATGGATCATATGCAATTAAATCCACGATCAGGTTTGTTAATGTTTACCTAAGTGTTTTTTTAGTTCTTCGACCAGAGTACCTAAATTATTCACGTGTGCATTCGTCTACCTCAGATCAGTTTGTTGCACCACCCTTTGAGAAACGTTTGAATACGAACACTGCACCACTCTACACTACGGAAAACCGTAGTTTTCGCAGGAAATACTTGCGTGACGCGATACGTAAGCTAATAAAACTTCACTAATAATGTATTTAGATCATCCGTACTCGCGGAGCAATTGCCGTTCCCTTGAATCGAGTCCGCAGAATGGCGCCACATTGAGAAATCCCTCTTCCCTGAGGTGCGGTCCCTTAGCAGTTCCTTTGCGATCAGGTTATTCTTCGCCAGACTCAGATGGGCCTTCGCGCATATATCCGTCATCCAGCCTTACATATACGCCGAAATTTGCATCAGATTTACGAAATACTCGCTCCGAAAGTGATGTACTTGTTAGAGATGTTGAGGAGAACGCTGTTTCCTCCAGATCACACTCTCACGGTCAGTCCGAACAGCTTCGGCGGTCCCGTGAATCCAACACTTTTGCCCTAATTGACGCGCAGTTGTCCTGTTTACCTCTCAGTCAAGTCCGAGATATGTACCTCCAGAGTCGAAGTGGTGCCAACTTCTCCGGTAGCTCCGCGGCAAGAACAACTAAAAAAGTTAACCTTTCCGTTGTACATACGATTGTCCGATTTCGGTTAAAAGAATATCTTCATGACATTCAAGATCACACAAATTTTTTACTGGACACATTGCTCTCCAGCACATTCGAAGATTACCACCCTGGAATGAGAAATGAACTAGCATCGAAGCTTTTTGGTATCTCTCGATTACCTTGTGCCGCTGATTGTCAATTTTGTCCTGGACTTCTCAGTCGGCAGACCCGAAGCAGGCGCCGCAACCGTTTAAATGAGAGGTTCACAACCGACAAAGTACCCCTAATCGTTAGCCCTTGCCCACTTGACAGCTCCGTGAGACCCTTCAGTAGTTCTTCCTCAAACAACTCTACCACCCCCATGCTAACAGCCTCAGACGCCCCCTCCGAGTCACATGATTTCTCACCCTCAAGCAACTTGAAGGATGATATTGATCAAGATCTTAATAAGATCGAGCGCAAATCTTTTAGTGAAGAGGACAAAGCTACCCCCGTCGATATATTGGACGATCTGAACAACATCAAACTTACACCCGGTCAGTTTTATTTACCAACTGATTGTTCGACCTTGGAAAAACCGCTGCTATCATACCACCTGAACTGTGATCCGTTTGAACCTAAGCGAGCGCGAAGTCGCCTAGATAGTTTTACTTTACGTATAGTTGACGAATTTGGCGCAAATGATTGGCTCGCTGAAGGGATTGAAGTCGGCCCAAGTGGCGACGAGCCTGTTGATCTCCACACGCTAGTGAACGACTCTGCATGCGAAGGCATATTGAAGCCAGAAGAGTTTCTCTTCGGTTCTGAGTTCGAGCCCATTGATTTATTGCACTCCTTCGTAGCTGACAGGTGTTCAGATGCGAACCATCTCAGTAATTCATAGCTTTTTGTATCCCAGTTCTCAGATTTTTTTGCTCTGCTCGTTTGCTATTTCAGACTGCCTACGCACACCGTACTTTGAGTTTAGAGATATCGGCTCGGCTTTGTGTGCGATCCCCAATTCCGCCTGCCGAATTTTTCCTTTTTTAACTCGAGCGTATTTCATCTGTTATTATCTGTCTCGTAAGTGCAGATGTGTATATAGCACGTTTTTCTGATCAACCTGTTCTTGTTAACATGTGGCTGGTTTCTCTACTATAGCATTTAACCATGCGGTCCACCTGGTAGCTTCATGCAACCCACTGATACTGCACTGTTTCTTCCTACCGTTGTTACTTTGACATGACTTCGAAGCTAGTGTAAAATTGGTGCGCTACGAGCTCAAATCCATGGTTGGATAACAGATCGTTGTGCTTTGTTCACAGCGGCGTTAGGGTTACCGGGTTTCACGATACTAACGTATTTGCGCCTACTGTATTTGCTGTACTTCACCGTCCATGACGATTTTTGGCTGTGACTGGTTATATAAGCCTTTACAATTGCGTACATTTGACATGCATTTTTTATTTTCTGTTGATAGTTTCATTCACGCCACTACGTTAAACGCTCTTCTCTTTAGCACTTTTTGTTGTGGCCAAGTGATCAGTCTTGATGCGAGCTCACATTTTGGGATCTGCGAATTTGGCCTAGTTATGAGTTGCTCACTACTGCTGTAAGCTGGCGTACTAAAAAATTAGTTGTTTGCTCATCGACACAGTCATTACGTTCTTATTATAACTCATGATTTCTATTTGATTATTTCTCTATCGGTTTCTCTGTACTTTTACTCAATCTCATCGGCTGACCACTCATGCCCCGCGTTGTCCTTCGTTGCATCTGTTACCGTATAGGTAAGTAACGCTTTTGTACTTTGTCCTGACGCTTCCGTACAGTTCAGCTGTAAGCGGTCGTGTGTCTATTGAGACTATGCCAGAGCACAGATACAAGCAAGAACCATGGCTGAAATATAAGATGCAATTTCTATCATATCCTGGCAACCACATCGGCTTTTGAAACTTTTGTACATAGGACGGTTCTGCTGTTTCCCCGCATTCGTCTAAAGAAGTCGTATCTGATCCGCTCAGCAACATTCCTCCACCTAGACCCTGTTCACTCTGTAGTCCTTATTCTCCAATGTTATTAGAGTTTATTAAGGCTTTCCAAGACATTTGTGTTTTTCATCCACCATATAGTAGTGCTTTGACTGCTTGTCGATGCACCACATCTAGATAGTTGATCACTGACAAAACACGATTTTTCACAGCCTATTCATCCACGAGTTAAGGGGTTTTATTTTTAGTAAAAAAAACCGCTTAACTCATTAATTTGATTTAGATGTCATCCACTGCAAGATGGCTAGCATAGAGCTCCGAATGTTACGGTTTATTTAACTTTCCTTCGGGACATCAACGGCTGATATCCTTCTTACACTATTCCAGCCTTTCATACGACTTGCATCCAGCCGTGTCTTCCATAGCTCCTCCGGGACAACGTGGAACTGAGGAGTGTTGCGAGTCAGTACTAGGTTACTCCAGGGGTTACGAGGACGGTCGTACTAAATGCACCTTCAGAGGATTCGTGGGGACTTACTTAGTACCTACCGCATTCTCACCGGAAAATATGGTCCGGAGTTATCCTGGCTGTTTCATGCCGCTGAACCATCTATACATTTCCTCGGCCAATAGAGTTCATTGAGTTGTAAGGAGCAGGAGGGAAACCCCTTGTCAGCCTCATCAATTCCTGATCATAATAGGTTTGATGCGTGTAGTTGCGTTACGACCTTGTGGATTCGTCGCAATTGCAGTGACAACCGCAAGATTCCAGCATTCTCTGCGAATGTTTGTCTAGCAGCTGCTTAAAACTTTCCTCGGATGGCGCGACTGCAATTTCGTCTGGTAGGCCGTTCCAACCATTTACCACTAGGGGATCAGGTGACGTCTATGCGAACTCTGTCTTCTTTGCTTAAATAGTTTTCATGTGTGCCCTCGTGTGGAAAAAGCAGTGTCGGGCCGGGAGAATTGTTGTAAAACTCGGAGGATGTGCCTATGGTAGATGAGATCATCCGGGCGACGGCGGAGCTCGAAGGAGAAAACATTTAGCTACCGCAGTTGAATAGGGTAAGGGAGATCACGAAGCCCCAGGACAGCTTTCGATGTACATTGCTGAACCTTGTCCAACAGAGCGTATTCAAACTTTGTAAGCGGATGGATAGCTGGTAAACCATATTCAGCGTGGACGAACGTACGTAACAAACAAAGGTCGAAAAATCTCAGGAGTCATTCGAGCCAATGATCTTCTTAAAACACCCACCAGTCTCCTTCCAGTGGCTACTTTGTTCAAATTGTCTTGCGTCGTTCTAAGCTCAGAAGTCACAATAAACCCGAGATCTCTCTCATGAGTTGTATTCCTAAGAAGAAACCCACCATTGTGGTATGTACCCTACGGTTCGGTGCTCCCCATTGGGAGAACAGCGCGTTTATCTCGACTTGCTGGCAATTCCCACTTGCTGCATCATTCGTGTAGCTGGTCTAACGCTCCTTGTAAACTGTCCGCATCATCAACGCTGGATACCGTTGATCAAAGCTTGAGGCCATCAGCGTAGATCAGGCAGTCGTTTTGATGTGCAGTCGGCAGATTGTTAATGTACAGTTTGAAGAGCTCTGGTCTAAGCACTTATCCTTGGGGAATTCCACTAGTTTCGTAGGAAGTAGAAGTCACGATTAAACTCCACACGAAAATCTGCCTCAATTGGGAATCGAACCCCGGTCCACGAATTTCCGGTCCGCTGAGCTACCGGTAGCTCAGTGGTAGAGCCAATTCCCTTTAGTTTATGTAGCAGTCGTACGTGTGGAATCTTATCAAAGGCTTTGCTGAAGTCAATGCATATTACGTGAACCCGTTTTCGGGCATCTATGGCTGCTGCCCATGTTTCCCTGGCGATGAGTAAGTTAGATGCATGAGTGTGCTCTCCGAAAGCCATGTCGACCGGGTTATATGATGTTTAGGTTCACACAGTGTAGCTGGATTGCGCACTTGACTATTCGTTCCACGGTTTTGCATACGACTGATTTCAGGCATATTGGCCGGTAGTTGGCTGTGTCTTGTTGGTTTCTCCTCTTATTTGGTCGGGGCGATACCTGCTTTCCAGCCTGTGGGTAGGCAGCCGATTTCAAAGGGATTGCCGAAATACTTGGCAGCGGGAGGCGGCGACGTATGCAGCTATCGTTTTGAGGAAGCTAGGATGTAATGCGTCCGGGCCTGGGTAGGAGTTCATGTCCACTTCGAGGAGTAGCTTAGTGACTACCTCGGGGTTAATTTCAACTTGGTCCCTAGACGAGTAGTATGCAGGCAAACAGTTGTTGAGCAGAGGGGATCCCACTGAGTTGACCTAGGAATATTGCGCAGTCAGTAGGTTTGCTTTTTCATCATCGCCGTAGAGAACATTACCTTCCTTGTAAGAGGATAGAGCATCCATATCGCTTTCCAATTCATCTTCGGTGAGCTCATGTTCTTCCATAGTTCTTAACGCTATCAAATGGCATCCAACGAGTGTAGCATGCGATTGAGTTCATTTAGCGAGTGGGTGACATTACGGCGCCGTTTGATAAACGAAACTCAAGCATGATTTGACAGCTCGTCGTCGTTGCTAGACATGCACTTGTATTTGTGTCTTTTCTCTGATTTCAAAGAATACAGAATCACTTTAGCTAGTCTCAGTGCTAACGCTGCCGTGTTCAACTTGTTTCACGTATTGTCCTCATGAGAGGCATGCGACCCTGTCAAATCTTCGGGCTATCAGACGTGAAGTTGATAAGGCTGTCCGAATGCGCGTTCGCTTCCACCTTCTTGCCTATTAGAAATAATGAAAGAGGATTAAGTGAGTCTGCCAAACTCAACATCTGTGAATTCTTCGTAGGGATCACAGAGTCTTAGCTGCAGTTTCCCCGCCTAATTCGCTGCCGCAGGTCAAACCGATCTAGCCTGACATCAAATGGAAAATTCGTGGTGTGCATACGCACCACCGAGGTTGTGAATCTACAATGTTGGCGTTATTTTTTGAAACGTTACCGGATCCACTGCGGCTTTTCCCAAGGAGCGCATGTTGGATGCTCAGCGGTTTAAACTGTTGCTGTTGGAAAATTAACCACACCGAGGAATGCCACCGTTTGTGCACCAAATCTACGACCCCGCGCACTTTGCGTGGTTCTTTCTACACTTCTGAGGTGCAAATCGTTGCTACCTTTTTTTTACACGCAAAAGTAGTAGTACCGGTGTCTTGGTGAATAAACAGGCAGCGTGCGACCGATTCCCACCTTGTTATTACCCATACTAAAATCACACGACCAAGGACTGGCGGTAGCGATTTCCTTTAGCTAGTAATCAACCATACGCGTCGCACTAGGAACAAGGCAAACGAGCGTGGTTTACTTTTAGACGTGTTTCGCTATACCTTCATCCTCTGTGACTTGGTTGTCCCCGGATGTCTTGAACTGCGACCTATGTCTACCTGGCTACGCACCACTTGGTCTGGTCGCCAAAGAGGGACATTATCTTTTGTTATCCCTACCTTAGGTATTTTGAGCATCTGCGCACTTCCGTACTTGGACCGAGATGTTCAAGCTCAGTCGACTGGTATTTTGCACTTGGAAGTGCTTCTAAGGTTGAGTCTATTCCTACTCAGTCTGCGAGCAAGTGTCTAGTAATGAACTTCGTCAAAATAATCTTTCTTGCAACTCGGCACCAAAATTGTTTGTTGCATGCCTTAACCTAACCCTGTACTTGTAGTTGTACCAGTTCGTGGTCCACGAACTTAGCACGTGAACAACCAACTGCCCTCTGCCAAGTCACTTGTCTCCGTACTTGAACCTACACTTCACATCTGGGTGCCAGCAAGCATGTATCTATATCCCTCCGATGTGCTCGTTTCAGACATAAACAGGCTACCGCAAAGTAATGTCGAACTAT